TCTTGGTTTACTTACTTGCTTACGCCTGTTACTCCTCGCGGAGGAGCATAGGCTGCCCAGCAGCACTCTCCATCCAACGCTGTCCTGGGAAATCCTTTCCAGTTCTTTTTAGTTGTTATCCAACCGCTTATATTTCCCTACGTAATGTGTTCTATATCCTTCCTCTTTTTCACTTTTCTTCAGGATTCCAAGTTGGGGCTTGCCTCGTGATGTAGTTTGCATCTTGATTTGGACGCTCCTAAAATTTTTCCAGACTACACGTCGAGGTAGACAGTGGTTGGACATAAGTAACATACGTTCCAACCACCCCAGTTGATAGAGATTTACTACCTCATTTTTACTTATTACCCTATTCTTAACCGTGGGACAGCTTACTCCGTGATCCCATAATATAAGAACAATGCTTTGAAGACATTTGTGATCAAATACTAACAACCTACGAATATCCTCTATTCTGACCATGACCATGTTTCACACCTATAAAGTAGAACAGAGTGAAATGCTGCTTAGTAAACTCGTCCTTTGGTTGGCGGATGGATATCACGCCTTCAAGTGCCTTTCGGTCTGGTTTACTCTACCTGTTAAGGATTAAAATTACCCACCACTATTAATACATCGGAGCATTTAGCTTTTTAAAAGAGGCTGGATAGCTTCCTATAAAATTCATCTTTCACTTTATCCAAGCTGCAACAGCAGGAGCGTAGATGAAGACAACGAACAGGGTGTATCAATATTTTTCAGAGATTTTCCTGTCCTGGTCCGCCTTTCAACGACTGCGTTTGGATCCTTCATGAGCGCTTCGGAGATGCGACATACATCAGTGATGCGAGATTCTACAGTCCTCGCTAAGAAAGAGTGTTGTCTGATCTGACACAAGGTTCAGTCAGTCAGTCAGCTACAACGTAGGACCAGGCGCACATATGCATCCATCCAAGTTGCCGTACCTCATTAGCACAGCAAGATGAACAGCGGATAATATATAAAAGAAAGATTGCATATAAGGATATAGTACAGGAAGAAAGAATTAGTTCGTGGAAAGAAAGATATGAAGCGATTTTAATCTCTTAGTTTAAGGGAAGACAGAGAGTGTATACACCGACGCCATTGTTATCGATTCTGAACCATGTCAACAAGAGTCTCCAACCATTGGTTACGATAGTCACGCGGACCCCAACCAAGTAGTCTGCATCTACCAACATGGCTCAGACTAGAAGTTAGTGACTTCGAGCATTGATGCCACGTTTTGGTTTGGCCGCCCCTAACTTTCTTCCAACCATCTCCAATACCGGTTAGCATTGCACGTCGTGGCAATCGGTGTTCAGGCATACTCACCACGTGGACCAACCATCTCAGTCGATGAAGATTCCCAACCTCATCAACTGATTTATCATCATTCCCTAATACCCTGCGTCTAACCTCACTATTATTTACTCGGTGATCCCAGCAAATGCCAGAAATATTTTTAAAGGTATCTGTGGTCAAATACTAGTAGCTTACGAGTATCTTATACTTTTAATGGCCACGTTTCGCTGCCGTAAAGTAAAGCAGTATACTCGTCTTTTTGTTGATAGACGGATATCTTGCCTTTGCTATAGGTGACGTAAGTTGGCGAAAGCCAAATGAGCTTTTCGAATGCGTGCTGAGATTTCATCAGACACCAACCCATTAGGGCTGATCAGACTTCCTAGGTAAGTGAAGTTGTCAACGCGTTCGACTACTTCACTCCCTATCCTTAGTTCAGGTGTTGACACAGACCAGTCCTGAAGCAACAATTTGCACTTAGAGGGAGAGAAGCGCATTCCAAACATTCTGGCATTGTTGCTTGGTGCATGGTTTCGGGAGACCAGGAATAATATTTTGTGAACTCAAATCATTAGCATTGATGGCGCGTTGTAATAAAGTTTTGAGGGAAGGGTTAGTCTTCGGGGCAGGAGGATTATCATTAGGCGAGGAAGGGATTTGATTATGGACAAAATTATATTTGGTACTGTTAGAGGCGTTAAAGCAGTTCCCACTTTCCAGCTGCCCACACTGTGGGAGGACATTTCTCTCTGAGGGACCGAAGAAAGAAGCTGGGGTTAGTGGTGGAACGTGACTGAAGATTCAAAGGTAGAACTGCCTCAGGTCAGTCACGCACTACCTTTATGTGGAAAGTTTTTGATGCGTTAGCTTCACACTTCAAAAAGCTTTACTCACGGAAATGGTAATCTGTGTGGTAAGGTGAGGTGTGAAATTCTCATGGTCGACCTCTTATAACCACTTCCATCCGTTGTGAGAGGGCACCATCTCTGCAGATGATAGTTGTCCGAGAGAAACACCTTACTGCTATCACAACCCCCTGCAGTCACCAGTACAACTTCACCCTTCCGACCGTAAGTTGCGGCTTTAAGTCTTACCGGTCTCCAATCGACCTGCCTGGCACGTTAGGACCTAAAGGAACATATGTCTCAGTCAATAAAGCTCGGTTGAGCCATCACGATAGGCAAGCCCGAACACCACGTCAAGGTAGCAGCTACGGTCAGGTTAGATCAGTGTTTCGTATAGCAGCTTCACCATGTATCCAATGACAGAGATAAGGCTAGTCCTATTGAATAGGCCTTTTATCAAACCTCGTTTATATTGTACTAAACAAGGGCTATTGTGATTAATTTATTGTTCCATCCATAAAGGCTTTCAATATATAGATCATTTGAACCATCATATGAACTAACAAGTATATTTAAGAAAGAAAACTGGCTGTCGCCCTCCTCTTTGCATGAAAGACTAATGTGACTTTTTATTGTTGAGTTTCCCTAAAAACAATTACTACCAATTTTTTGGCAAGCTACTACAACGTTATCGATTTACCGCTCTTATTAAGTTTTACTTTTCCTAGTAATTCTTCTGAGAAATCTTTAACATATGGCATAAAGAGATCAGCAAGTAGTGGTCCAAAAGGTCGAGTTATAGTGACATTACCAATCTGTCGATAGTATTCAACATCAACTAATAAATCTTTGGGGATTGTTAGAGAATAAGGAATGGAAAATTACTCAATTAGATACTGGTCATATAGGATATTAATGCTCTTTCTCAGTGGTACACTTTTAAAAACACATTCAAATAGGAAGGATGCTTTGTCTTTTCCTTGATATTAATGTCACATAATTAATAGATCAACTGAAATAAATCCCTCAGAGAGTACCTACATAAATGCTATTGAATAGGATTGAGAAGCTCCGTTAAACATTTTGTGATACTATGTATAGGTGACCAACACACTGATAAAATTGAATGTAAAGACATGTCGGTTTTGTGAATTTCAGGTAATCCATTTAATTACTGTTAAAAACTGACTTATTTATTTTTGCATCTGTTTTATAGTCGATCACTTTGAAAATATTTTTAGGTTCTACCGTCGAAGTAAATTTAAGAGTCGAGTGATAGAATGGTTTATTTCTTTTAATACTGAGTAATTAAACAACTCGAAAATTTAAGTCATAAAGGAAGTCAAAACTCGAGATTTAGCTTTTCATTAATATCGTTTTAAATTCAGCTTGGATAATTCAATTGAGATATCCTTAATTATTCATAAAAAGATCTAAAAATTTAGTTATAAATTGGGTAATCATTTGCGAATTATTTACAAATCGAAAGATCTGTGTTAATATTTACCATAACTCAGTTATATCTCTTACTTACTTAACTTTCTAATAGTTTTCAAAATGGGTTGTGATTAGAAAGCGGATAGTTTTTACTCAGATTTATTACTGATTTTCACTAATCATACTAGATTGATGGAGAACGCTTAATCGCTTACTAGTAGAGAGCTCGGACAGTTTGCTTAAACTAACGGCATCTTTTTGTCAAAAACCCTAATTTTTTATTCTTTCCAGACTAGTTTATTAGAGAAATTCGAGTGATAACACTAAGATGGTCTAGAAATTATGGAATGATCTCAATCAAAAACCTAAGAATCTCCACAACCCCTATACTAGTAATCAACATGTGCTCACTAGTGACTAGCTTCGTGAGGGAATTATCGGAGTTCTATTGAGAAGCCATGATCAGTGGAGCTAATCCATGTTGGGTAGAGACAGGTATCTACCTCAGTACAATGGAAGTTGGTCGCGCAATTTCGTGGATTGGTTGATGTTAGACACTATCGCCATTGGATGCAAGTTAGTGACCAACTTCGATTCATGTTCTTTAATAGTGTAAAACGTTAACATACCATCATATCATACAGGGAAGTTTGTGAGTACTAATATACAGACCTTGAATTATGACACTTAAACAGAATTCTATTGATCTATCTTAAGCAGATATAATTCAAGAATGATGAATCAAGTTAAAAATCCTGCAAATTATCGGAACACTATTTGCTTTACTAACTTTAGTATTAAATAGATTTGTTTTCCGAAAACAATATATGCACGTTTTTCAGGAATATATCTGCTTAAACGAGGGTCTAAGTCTCGAGAAGCTTAAGTACAAGTAGCCATATCACAAGGGTAGAGCAATGGTTTGAGTATTCTCATGACTTAAGACTGATTTATATTGTTTACATTTTTCTGCCGAGTACAGATCTGTGAAACTGTTGTGTTACACTTAACGGATCAACCTTGGCAATAGAAAACTAAATATATCAAAAGATTCCGTAAATGATGAAGAGAACAAAGATTACTACCAAGGATTGGTATAAATATACAGTAATAAGGCATGCCTTAAGCTAAACATCAGCATTCTCTGTGTTGACTGAATCTCATGAACTTCTACCGTATTGTGTATTTTCCTAATACCGTAAAAAATCATTTTGTATTAGTGAGTTACATTATGGATAGCTTGAGGGGAAGGATTTTAAATAACGAATATTTACGATGATGCAATTGCTTATTGATGTTAATTAGTATTATAACGTATGAACTTTACCTTAAAATTTAATTTCGGAACTGAACTATGTTTTGTACATTGTAAACGAATAATCAACTGAGTAGTAACGAATTTTAGGAGAAACTTACGTTATTTTCAAAAATGTTGGACACCGTACATGTATTTTCGGTTTTTAATGTTAATTGTTGGTTGATTAATTCATTTGAATTTTCACCTAAATCGTCTAGGCTACCTGCTGTGAACGTATTGTTGATGTGTTGATTAGACAATTTTCTCAAACGATCTCTCTCCTCTCTAGCTAATCGAACTCTTTCTTTTCTAGCTGCGCGTTCTTCTGTTTGTTGTCTTATTTGTCTATCTACATCAGCACCAACCCGTGATTGAATATTTATCAAATCTGACTGAATATAAGCAAGAAGCCATTTCAAACCGTCACGAATCGCTTTATCCAACTTTTGATTAGGTAGTAATAAAGCACAACAATGCTCCTAAAATTAAAAACATTCAAGTTAAACAATCCAGTTCATCATGTGAGAGTGAATATCAAAAAGCGTTACGTGTATGGAAAGTTCTACACTCTGGTGTCCATACAGAGATCTGCCTGTCTGTACATTGAATATAAATTATGGTTCCCTGTTGTTGATCACTAACAACTTGAGTTTTATACCTATAGAAAGACAAAGACAAATTAATTTTCTGGGGTTTCATGTTTACATTTCTGACGAGGTCCGTCGAACAATGTTAACCTGTTGAATATATAAAGAAACTTGATGAGGTTCGGAGTTCAAAGGGCTTTTCTATGTTTATTTTATTGAGATTACGAACTGATCTAAGTTAGGGAGTCATTGAACACCTGGAAGTATTGAAAGCCCTCTTCGTTCTGTTATGAGACTCCCCAAAAGTGTGGGACCACAACCACGCGACTAGGAATGAAACACAGGAACCTAGGTTTAGCGCGTGGACGCTTAACATTATCAGCAGATTTATAGGGACCAATTGAACGAACGTCATGTAAAAAAGGAGTTTACCATATCACATTCAATATGAGCCATTAGGAGGCACTTGCGTTTATTAGGGCCATATGTATGTATGTACACATATTCCGATTGTTAGAGTGACTGACAACATTCTTTCTGGCCAAAGTTACCAAGTAGGTGTAACGGGGTAAGCATAAAGGAGAGGTGAACCTTTGGAATAGTCCTACCTGAAGTTTATATATTTGTTGCACAATTACTAAACACTTGAATTGTTCCTTCTTTATGTTTTTCTACTTGTAGGCCTTCGTTAGCCCAAGAATTACTATTGGATGTCCAAACTTTCTTAAGTTACTGATAATTTATCACCAATCTATTACCCAGGTCTCGTCCACTTGTCGTGTAGTTAGGCCTGTATTACAATTCCTTAATTACGTTGAACGTGGTCACGATTTTTTTGTGGTTGTATGAGTCATAAATTTGAACTATGTGTTTAGAAGTTATCTACATGATATGTTGTGTTCTGTCCTGGCTATTGGACAAGAGAGTATGGGAGAACTGCGTTCTGAACCAATAGTCGTTAAGTACTGACCTCAGCTATCGAGCTATCATCGTTTCATTGATTAGCAGGTCTTTGGTACTACGTAAGCAATCTAGGAGGAATAATCAATGGTCGGACTAGTTTATACAACTGCTCTCTTTTAATGACTGGGCGACCACACGAGTCCCAACATAACATCATGCCTGGTTTTTCCATGAAGTCAGAAGTAAAATAGAAATAAGATTTACATGTACATAAAATGATCAAATGTAAACCAGTCGATTATAGCTTACCAAGCGACAAGGGCATTTATATTCATTGACAAGATCATCCAGCTGGAGTGCTGCTATCAGCTCCGACTCATCTAACGCACCTTTAATATCTCGCTTGTTTGCTAGTCTAAAGTGATAAGCACAACCCGTTACCTTGTGTAACCATCTCACAACTTACAAAAGAATCGGTTTACCGGATATACAAGGATGGGAAAGAACATTGACTAATGCTTCGTGACATTCTTCTAATCTCTCTGGCGTACTTGAATCAACCACGAATATAACACCATAGACTTCAGCAAAATATGTTTCCCAAATATCACGTATTGTACGACCACCACCCAAATCATAAAGGTTGATATTAAAGCTGTCGATAGCAAATTCGATACGATCAAAGCCGATAGTTGGAGCAACTAAGTCACTGGAGACTTAGGTATGAATGTAAATAAAATTTTTGGAAACGTGATCACAACATACCACCCTTTATGCTGAGAGATATTGTTGTCTTTCCAGAATTATCCAATCCCAGGATGGCAAGAAATATTTCTCTATATTCAGAATTAAAAAAATCGAACTATTATCAAAGCTCTAACGGATTATAGTATGAAATATGTTGGTAAATGGTATGTTACTAGTATCTAGCCATCACCCACTATGATACTACTAGGTATGTATTAGTAGACAATTTACTGACTGGTGAACTACGAATAAAATCTGTAGACATACATACTGACAAGAATGCATGAATCTGGAAGGGGTACAATATATATAAATAAATTACGCCTACAAAAACAAGCAGTGTTATTAACACTATTAATAACGACAAATTTAATGGTCAGACTTATGGTGACAAAAATAGATTGAAGAGTTGTAATAGGAATTATTACAGCACTGTCATTTCTTGTTAGCTGCAAAATTTTTGAAGGCTATGTGTGTTAAAAATAAACATAAAAGCGAAGTTGGATACTTTATTTGGTTAAATTTATATAAAAAACCTTATAATTATAAGAAATCGATTGTCTCCATGTTATACATTAGTCATATTAATCCCAAAAGTGTTTCAGGTTTTGTGGTTACTAACAGATTCTTCTCTACCTAGTTATTAATAATACCTTCAGTGTTTATCCTTGGAACACGCACCGACGTTGTTGTTTAATAAAAAAATTGAATACAAGCAAGGTTCACTACCAACATTTATATATATATATATATATATGACATTTAACATAGGCTTTAATTATGTTTTTTGTATATAGATTATTCTTTTTTGCTATATAAAACGATTCATCTTTGCTGGATAGTCATTTGTAAGTGGTCTTCCCGAGACCACATTAACTTAATCGATCGCAATCAACATTATTATTTTTCTGTGATAACAATATCTTAGCATATACATAATTGTAGAAAGACACCGCACCAGAAGAGAGCAGATTATGAATAAAACTGACCAGAAGTGAGCTAATCTGAATGCATACTTGTATTTTAGGAAATAACGTTCAAAACAGAACTCATTCAGCTGTCTAAATAACTTGGAAAACTTGGCTGCGCGAATTTCCCAGCACTGTGAATAAAAATGACGATCAAAATAGCCGTACGCTACAACTCACAGAACGACTGCAGTCATTCCATGCACATAACGTTACTAATGTTCACGATTGAGTTAGTAATTACTGTTTTCATCAGTAAACGATGAATGTCACAATCTAAATTATCTGTATTTCAGAATTCTGGATGTCTACCTCGCTTAATGCACTATCTGTGCTCATGAAGATTATTGATAAGCATGTCTTTCCATTTCCGGTGTATCTTTGATGGAAATCAATTTGTATTGTTACACGTATTAATAAAAAAAAGACCCTAACTACATATAAAGTGACAATTCTTTGAGTTAATAAAGAGCGTTGCTTGATTGATAAATGGCAAACATCACTGGTGCGAGAAGTCCATTCTTCTAGAAAGCCTTATAACTATACTTTGAATTGTTTTTTTCTATTTCAAAAAGGGATTTATTACAGAATGAAATGAATAACAATTGGTTGCTTCTATAAATCTAAATTAACTAAGAATGGTATCATTCTCAAAACATGGCAAGAGTTTTGTTTTGTTACTTACTCTTCAAATCCATATAAACCAATAAGTTTAACTATTTAAAACATTAACAAAAATGAGAGCTTCTCAATTAAGCCATTGAGCCAATGGAACATCAAACCATTGATCCATCTTGGTGAACTGTAAGAACACCATTTTAAGCTAACACATTTTATTGTTTCAAAATACAACATTCTTAGAAAGTGAAGAAATGATTTATCTGTCAGTGGTGAGTATATTTCAAAGGGTAAGATTTTTGATGAGGTTAAACTTGAAGCTTGATAGACTTTATGATTGATGTGATAGATCTACAATATTGTAGAATATAGGATTACTATTCAGTACGACTGATATTTATTGAAAACATGTTAAAGGCGAGAAAGAAACAACCATTTTGAGTTACATCCATCAAATTTTACTCATGATTAAATGAATAGTGAAAAGTCTAATTGTTCACACAGTATATTTACGATGCCAAGAGCGTTTAGTGTTAATCACCGACTCGTTTTAAGTCGGAAGGTCATTATTATATCTTCGAATTGCTACAGGCTTCAGAAATCGTTATAACATAGAAATAGTTTATAGATACACTATATGTTAAAAGTAATGAATGAACAATTCATTTCTTAAATCCCTAAGTATGTTGACATTCCAAAGTAACTAAATGTACCGCCATATGTGCAGCTGAGGGGAAAGAAGCGAAATACAGTGGATTTACCATATTTTGCAAGCAAAGTTGTCTTGATTTCTTTAAGAAACAGGTTATTTTTCTTTTGCTGTGATGAAACCTTAAAACGTAGAGTAGGATTTATGGGTAAGGTCAATTGTTATTTGACTGAAATTGTTGAGCCAAACTGAAAAACTACAGCACTATGTTAGGGGAAATTAATCGTAAAAAATAATTATTGAAGCACAACGTTTGAATAAATCACGTTTCTAATTTTTAGTCACAAAATTGAAAAACACTTACTTCCAACAATTTTAAAAAGCTGGTTATCTCAACTTTTAAAGCTTTGCATATTTTATCCAAAGCATTTATTAGACCACAAACACCCTGTAAATGCGGTGGGTGCTTTTATGAAAGGAAGTATCAAACTAACATATGACCTGAAGTATCAGTTAGTCGGTTATACGCAGCATAGACTTTGGCACGAAATGTGCATCAGTTCAAGTTGGCACACCGAATAACCACAGAGAGATGATACTATCAGGGAAAATCCCGGAATGGTAGGTGCAGTAACAGTATCAGCAATGGAATAAATTAGGCATGGACAATGCGACTAAGAAAGAAAAAATAAATTACAGGGATTCGAAACAGTACAAAAATATTCTAAAACTCAAGATCTAAGAGAAAACAAAGAGCGAATGCGACTGTACCATCGCAACTGATTATGAGCCATGTTACTCAACGTCCTTTGGAAATTACTCGGTGAAACATTCAGAAGCCATACATACATGTATCTGACAAAGTATTACAAACTCCACTTAACTTGACATTTTAAGGAAAACTTTGATATAAGCAACTGATGTGGGGATAATTATTCGATGTGCGATGTCGTTTGCGTACCCAAACACGTAAAACGAGTGAACCATTAGGAATACGCTGGGGTTTTTTTAGTTAAGCTTGATTATAAACTGATGAACAAACAACTTAGTCTTCTGTATTTAAAAATATAGTTCACACAGACACTAATCCATAACATTATAAGACTGACATTTTCCTTCATGCCCATTGTTAAGGAAATCACCCCTAGACTCATGTGTGTTGGAAAACAGAAGCACGGAGAGATTTAAAGCCGAAGACTAAGTGTACTTTAATGTAAAGGGGGGGGAACGCATATCTCTGAGGTTTCTCCATAAAAGTGTATATTATAATATCTCCTGAATTCATTAGTCGTATAGTCAGCCAAAAATAAATACCGCGTAAAACACCTAAAGATCAAGTATACCATTTAGTCAGTTGAAGACTTTAAACTAAATTACTGTTGTTAACCACCGATTCAAATGTTAATGTACCGAACTTTTTAACTATAGGAATCTTCAAAAGAAACAAGACATACTTATTGATTTATTTATTTCAATAATCCAGGTTTAAAATACTTTAACGCCACATATACGAATATTGGCCGCACAGAATTGGTACTTTTCAATGTCGTTCTGCAAACCACTATCGACAAGAAATATCTTCTTGTATTTACGTGATTACTAATCTTTGTTATGTCAATAACCTGATAATTGAATAGGGTACATAACCTGTAATCCAACTCTAGGTTTTTATGTTATCAGCCAGTCAGTCAGTAACAACGTAGAACTTCGTACGTACGTACGTCAGTTCGAATTGCCATACCACATTAGCACAGAGATGCAGTTATCCATTTAAATCCCGTAGTGGTAGAGGTGAGTTTTAAGTTATACGGAAAAACAGCTTAAAAAGCTTCTCAGATGATTTTGACTGATCTGACAGACATAATACCAGGGTACGACCTCCATTAGAAGCATGGAAAAGAATAACCATTTATCCACAAAATCAAATAAGCTAGTGAATTTAGGGTCAAAATTTCATCAACCAATGTGTACTAGAGACCCTGTTTGTGAAAGCAAGTAAAGAACAGTTGATAAAACGCTAATATCTGATAATAATCAATAAAAATTACTTTGTAGCAGAAACGCTGTATTTTTTTATTTACTTGAAGCATACTAAATAACTAATTTCAACCAGTTCACATATTTTCATGTCTTGTGTTAATTTCAAAATCTGAAGAGCGATATAAAACGATGAGCAATTTATGAGGCAGAGTAATCGCGTCGCCATATTATGGCAACCTTATGTATGGCCATCAAAAACCTATGCTTTTAAAAGTGTCACAGTACACATCTGAAATACATGATTAATATAATTTTCATCCCAAGATACCACAGTATGTGCATTTACAGGTCCCCACGAGCTCTTGAAGTTCAAAAAACCGTAGGTCAGTTTGTGAAGAATGCCTTCAAATTTATGTCCCCAATAACAATGACTACATGTCGTGAGTTCTAGATACATGCTCGCCAGAGGCGGTTATGGATAAGAATTAAATTGGATAGATGATTGCTGAATAAGGTTTGACGAGTGATGACATATCTGCTTGTGTATTTCCTTTGACCCCTAAATTGATAGAATACTTGTGTAATATCATGGGAGAGGCTTTCTATTCCTTATATCTGCCCATCAAATGGTGACCGGAACCTTGCACAATAGTAACACAAAGTACTGTAAACGCAGGTTTAATAAGACTTCTGTTAATATACCTATTACATATTAGGAGACATCTATACGGAGATTTTGAAGTTTTATTAGTATGATTATAGAATTCAACATGAGGATGAAGTGAAGAATTGATACAGTTTCAAACACCAGTGAAAAAACTTTATTTTGAAAAATAATAGTATAAAATACAGCAAGTTAAAATTACATTAATTTCGCTCAACAGTGACTATTGTGAGAGGTATGCTTTTTAGCAAAATGAAAAGTCACATAGAATGTGTGGTAAACATTTATTCACTTCTATCAACAGATCAGCCTTTCAGAAATAAAAATAAATAGTTGAAATCCATTAAAGACATAAAGTGTAGAAAGTATCAATCAACTTTATTCCTATCTCGACTACTAAAAATAATATTTAAACGAATACACATCCCAGCATATTAAAAAATCACATACTTGTTATTATTTTGTTTACGCCTAACAAACGTAAAACACGGAGACATGTTTATACATTCCCGACAAGGGATACAAAAGCGCTTTGGGTGATTCAAATTAGTTGCATTATTAATAATTTTAGCAGATGCCGAATAGTGTGGACGATAAGCATTCGGTCAGGAACTAAAGAAAGACATATTATGGCCAGAATTGGAAGGCCTATAAGAGGTAAAAAGCAGATAGTGTATCCTGGCAAGATTATCTATCTAGCGTAATATGCAAACAAAACAGATAAATGAGATCGAGTGTTACAAAGTAGTCGCACGTTGTTATTTACGAAAAATGTCAAGGTAACATACATTAAAACAAACTACCTTCTGCGCACGGTAACGCTATAATAGTGTACGTTCCAACTTAAAATGATCAACCCTGAAATATACAAAGAACGTTTTAATTATAATACCAATTTTCTGCTGTTCGAGGCAATCAAATTTCAGGTACAATTACGCAGAAGGTAATCGTAATTTGACACGGCAGAATCTCTTTCGTTAAGGTTCAGATACACTGAAGAAAAGTTACGAGTCTTCAACTTTTTAAACCTGAAAATGAATCAATTCGGATTCTTCACCTGCGTTTAAAATGTCAAGTTGAAAGATCGATTAATTTAGATCTTTTATGTTCAGCGGTTTGCGTATATTTCAAGCATGTTTACTGTCGTATGTGATATACTGAGTGCTTTGTTTCGAGCCCTTCTCTTCGCCTTGAAAGTTCTTGGATGAATATTCTGTTTGTTAAATCCAATACCACGAAGTTTCTAACAAATGAATGTTTAAGGTCAGATAAATAATTTCGTCACTGGAAGGCGGGTGGATATAAACAGAGTTCCCTGTAAGACAACCAACTAGTCGCTGTAAAGCACCGGAGCTAGTGAGACCTAGGTGATCTCTTCTCGATTCCGGTTGGAATATTTACTATGTCAGTTTCATTATATCAGAATAGTCATCGCAACCGCATTAGAAAAAGATTGGGAACGCAGTGCTCCACATCCCCTACGACCACTAGCCATCGTAAATTAATCACTTCCTTACATATCGAGAGCATGTCAAATATATCTTTGAATGTCGTTGCTTCTGACTTCCGATTTGATTGGGTTGGCATGTTTCGACTATATAAGGTGTTACTGGTTGAGGTGTTGTCAAATTCCGAATACGTGTGGCATCTTCAAACCAATGAGGTCAGCATCAATGTAGAAGGCTAGCAAAGCCATGTATATCGAGGATTTCTTTCCACTGTATGCTTCATTATTGCATACTCGCAGCCAACCCTAGCTCGAAAATCAAGGCTTGCGGTTGACAGAGGTCAGAAGAAACACAACATGGTTAACTCTCGTAATCGTAATGCTTCTATTTGAGGTGGGTTTGTTTAAACTAATCCACGCGTTTTAAAAAAGGATCAGAAAAGACTTTCCTTTTGTCTCCAAATCAATTACGTGGTAAATTTTTGGGATGTAATATTCCATCAATTTTCTTTTCCTCTATGACAGAAGGTTTACATTTCGTAAAAGTTCGCAAGCTCAGAATCAATTGCATGTTAGCTGACCATTGAATTATAAGTACGTGGAGCTCCCTACCTCATCGCATGGTTCAATTTCCATCTATCGATATGCACGAAAGTTGTTAAAACTGAAAGACTTCATCCACCAGGACTAACACAGAGGACCTAGCCTCTCGTCTCACTGAATTTTAATCCACCATTTGAAAAGTCCCATATGGAAAACTGGTCACATTGAAACTCAAATTATTCTAGTAGCATTAAGTGCCAGCGAAAATATACAGGACAAAACACACATCCTATCATGCTTAAAAAGGTGACAGAAGTGATAAATTCTGCTTGACTGTGATTGGTTGATAGGCCAAGTGTTAAGACCATTAAACTAATAGTTGAGAATAATTCATTACATTATTGCAAACTGGAAGCTCAGTAAGATGTTTTTTGCGGTATAAATTTAGCAATACTGTGAACGTTGAAAGTTGATTTTAGAGCTAGGAAATTATTTTCTAGTTTTCTTTGCAATGTCTTCGCCATAAGAACAGTTTACTGAGCGGGCCAATCGAGTACACGAATCAGGCTGCTGAGTTTCATCTGATGTTTGCTTTAAGTGGCTATGCCCACTCGTCGTAAAAATGTTGACTTAAACAGACTGAAACGTTCCTGTAAACGAAGCAAGGTATTCGAGTTACTATCTTTGTCGTAAGTATTCAAAATATTTCCAACTATCCTCAGTTACGTCCAATACCTCCTGATATCCATAATATGGGGAGTACTGTTTGTAGTAAATCAATCAACGGACATGAGGTTTGAGTACTTTTGGCCTGTTTGGCTATCTGTTTGCTCAATACATGACTCACTGAAGTTCCAAGGACTGGTAAATATTATGTCTGTTCATATTTCACATGCAGCAATACACAATTGTCTTTATCATTATTTTGATTACAATTGATCTAATGTGTTTCTTCTTGATCCCTGTGTCATGGATTTACACATTCGGTAGTGCGTATGTGTGGCTATACCTTTTTCGGCACACTGGTTAGTGTGATGACTAACTGAATAATAAAAATTTCAGATCAAGGGTTGTGTTTCCTCACTTTGTCGCTGTGTTTTGTTTTCATATATTTTGAATTTAGTCTCTACTCAAAAGTGACAAAATCCACTCACAGCATTTATGTTTTCCGTCCATTTGCAGCACACAGGTATGATGAAATTAGTGTGATTAAACGCCCTTAGTATTGGCTACTCGGTAGTATGTGTGGGATTTTCTCTAAAACGGTACCTGGATATCAGCTATCGAGATGTAGGTACTTTTCAAGCTTTATATAGGATGTTTAGTTTAAAAGAATGAATGTTAGAAGGCAAAATTACCTGCATTTTCGAATTCTTTATGAAGCTCTCCCACCGTCGTCGGTAAACGACAATGTTTGTAAGTTTCTGTTACATTCAAACATACTTGAATCAGACGTTCAACATAGTCTTGATTATTTTCAAAAGGATTCCCTAGAAGTTCATGAAGTTGCAATGTCTGATGATGTGAGTTCTTATCTCATTTTTTAAACCTCATTACTCCTCTACCTTTAATATCGTAGTACATTTTTGAATACATAGATTATATACAGCTATATATTTCAATGGTTTGTCAACCTCTAACTGATCATGATGCTCTACGAGCAAGCAAGACTTACATCATTTAAATATTTACGTGAATAAGGATTCTGCTTATGACAAGATAAAACGACTAGAGGTCTGAAGTGATCAGCTCCACCTACCAACAAAATTTAAAACCTATAGCCAACTTTATGCAGTGAGGATTATTTGTTCCTGATAAGTCAATGTTAACTGTCTTAAAGAGTGGGTCCCTAACCATAATAACTCATTATTAGTTGACGTTTGGTAGGTAAACAAAATTCTATCACTTTTCAATCTTATAAAAAGGGGAGTAAACTCCCTCATGATAACAATACAGAGTCAGCTTAGTTTATTTGTTGTCTAACATATTAGCATTGATAACCATTCGATGCCTAAATGGAGATCTGCGGCAGCAAACCCGAGAAAACAAATCAAGTTCAAATTCGGTCTTAACTATGTAGTTTCAGTCACTTGCTAAAGTGTGACGCTTTAGCCAATACGTCAACTACCGTGTTACAGTGACAAAATTCTGATTTACGCCTTATGGAGGATTCATTTTAGGAGGTTTAAACCTTCCGGTATTGTTTGGATCTACAGTCACTGACTTCTCGAAGAAGTGCTATTTTCTGGTTTGTTCATTGTTTACCTTTTTTCAACATGATCTAATTCTCTTTGAGCGTATAATTTATAGTTTGCCTAGACATTTGCTGTGTATACCAACGGTCTTCTCTTCAAAATCGTCTGTTTGTTACCAATCAGAACACTAAAAGGTCATCCAAGTACCTGATGTTTTTTCTTTTACTTTTATTTTAGACTGATAACTCGTGATTAAAGACGTAGAATTTAAGCCCACAACACTAACTAACGAATCTCAATAGGTATACAATACGGATAGTTGGGACAAAAGTTGAGTCATGGGTACATAGTCCACTAACTGTTATTTCCGAACTGTTGAAGGCAACTCAACAGCTTATCGTTAAGATCATAGCTATCAATCGGGAAAATATTCAAATACTACGAACTCTTTCCTTAGTTAAGAAACAGGATATACACAAACTGATCCCTCCAAAAACAGTTTCCATAGTTTCACATTTTTGCTCCTTCTCCCGTCACTAACATCTTTTCGAAAAATTGATATTGTTTACACTATGATCTTTGTGTGGGTGTTTAACTTCTGTTCTTTCTCCGTGTGACTACAAGTCACTTAATTCAAAAGAATGGTAAAATATCGCCTAAGCCATTGTAGCTTACTACCAAACTATTCCTTGAACAGGCTGTAGATTCTTTTCATAATGATGCAAATAACATCCTTGCATGACTCGAACAATAGTCTCCCCTTATTACCCCAGTCTGAAGTTTGTCGACATGCTAATGGGCATTGTTGCCAGGTCCTGCATTGCTCACAAACGAATGACAATGCTTCTACCACTCATTATGTGAAAACTCCCATTGTTACGTTGACCCCCAAAGACATCTTGGTCATTAGACATGAGACCACAATATTAGCACCAACTACCTTCAAAATCTGGAAAGATGCGCACCTTGATTGTCTTACTTTGTTCTCTCTCCCTTAGCCTAATAAGATCGACTAGTAACCACTTGATGGTATCCGCAAATTTTTATTGTCAGTTCTTGCGACTAATTTCATCGCAGACTAAGTTTGGAGCTAGGCTATATCAGTTTGAGTCTCACTGTCACATTCTCGTAATTGTTGAGTTTATTTTCCGCACACTTTGCAACTTGAGTGAGTCTTTTATCAACAGGTATTGTTCTCATTCATCCTTAGAGTTTCATACGATCACAGTTCAAGGTCTCATTCTAAGAACAGATGCTCAAACGTTCTTCCATTTTACCCATAGTTATATAATTTGAGTTTCAAAATTATTTCATACTTTTGATTACACAAACTAACCGTCTCTTTTTGAAAAATGATTCCCTATGTCTAGTATATTTTCACTTCAACTGATATTACTACTACTACTACTACTGCTACTACTACTACTACTACTACCATTACTGCCGCAACTACTTCAACCACTTTTATATTCATCCTGGTAAGTTCCCCCGACTATGCTGACGGGGTACGGGAAAGTGGGCCGACGCAAATGCATACCAGGTTCTACGTTGCTGATGACTAGCTGAATGATAACCTACGTGACAATTGTAA